AGTACCTGCCACATAGTAGGCACTTACTAATAAATGTTTGTTCCCTCTGTCTCACTACAATTTCATCTGGTCTCATATCTTTATTTATTTGATGCAAATAACTTCCAGATACTTATCTCAAGTTCTGATCTTTCTTCTGAGCTCCTGGCATCTCTAATTCTTTCTCTTGGATATTGGTACCAAGCTATCCAGCTGGCACCTCACAATCACTATTTCTAAAATGGGACTTCTCTTTACCCCACAAACTTTTCTTCTCCCCACTATCCTTTTCTTATTTCCATTGATGATATCACCTGGCATCTAGGTTCAAATCCTCATTCATCTTTGACTTCTCCCCCATAATTCATATCCATTCAGTAACAAAATCATTTTGATTCTTTTTCCACACTTTAATTGGTCATATCCTTTCCGTTTTTACTCCCTTTACCTAATCTCTTGCTCTGACTGTTTCAATAGCCTTGTTACTGATCTTCATGTCTCCAGTCTGCTTTCCCTTATATACAGTGTCTCCTATATTCTGTTACTTTTCCTAATGCACAACTCTGCTTGTGTTACTCCTCTCCTCAAAAAGGCTACACCACTCACAGAATAAAGGCTTTTTAAAATTATTCTCACTATGTGGAACTTTGAGGAGCCTTCTTTCAGCCATGAATGACTGAAGGGCCGGTGCTATATGTTGAGAAGGAATTTTCTGGTTGACATGGAACCAGAAGGACCAATGACAGAGCTGGAACTGAATTTGCATACAAAGGGATCAATACTCCTCTTCCTAAGCCCTTTTTGCTCTTCCCTTTCCTGGCATCTTTCAAGTTAGAAGGATTACTGACAGCTACTAAATAAGGGAGAAGCAGTGGTCTCTATCACTCACACTGTGGCCGTGTATTCGTGAAAGCATGCCTTCTCTGTTCCTGTTGTCTTTCTTCTTTCCTGAAGTTAGGTAAGAGTATCCTGCGATGGTAGCACCATTGAAATCAATGAGAGTGGGAGATCCATTAAAGCCACCTTAGGTCCCACCAACAACTGGGATCCTGGAGCGGTTGACAGTAGTAGCAGAGTCTGGTGAGGAGTTAGCATAGCTATCAAGGTGACCTGCTTCACCTAGCCCAGCAGCAGATTGACCTGTCAGCTGAGACACTGCATCATCCTACAAAGAGCCAGCCCATTTAAGCAGGGGAGCAACTCATTCATCAGTGATTCTGCACCCAGAATAAAACTTGATAGGAATTTTGAGAGGAGAGAAAAGATTTCTTCCTCCTCCTCTTGTTTAAGAGTTGTAAGCCCCACATGTTCACTGCATGTGTAAGTCTGTACCTTTATGCTTCAAGTTTGAGCCCATTCTCCCCAGGGACCAAGTTTGTAAAGGGGAGAGAGTACACTCTAATTTGGAGGATATTTTTGTAACTTCTGTCATTGTTCTATCTTTTCAGTAAATATCCTTTTGTAGAAGCTAATTAGTATCAAATGGTTAATCCATAATGGAAGTACTATACTAGATAATACAATAGTATTAGAAACTCCGAGCCTTCGAGACTACCCTTAGAAGTAAGACAGTAACCCTCTGGGGTCCCAGCTTGCTGGTAAGAATTGGAGTTGAGAGAGTGAGCCCATGACTTTGATGGATCTACCAGTCTCATTGGTCAAAGGAAAGTTCCTATCTTTGTATACTCATTCACTTAAGTACAGGAAAGAAGAAACACAAGAACAAAGACTTTATGCTTTCACAGACCCTCTGGTGGGAAATGAGCCCTTGCCCTCTTTTGCTCAGCAGCTGACAGTAATCCTCATTCAAAAGCTACTAGGAAAGAGAAAAACTCCAAAAAAAAAAAACCCCGACAAAGGGAGGGAATTGTTGTTATTTGTCCTTCATTCTCAAAGATGACCAATGACATCACAAGGGTGATGTCTTGACTTCCTCATGAATTGGATTTAATTGAGGCACAACTTTGCAAGTCATCAACCTCACTCTGTCATCCAGAGTCATTGGAGTCCAGTGGCAAAACAAAAGTCAAGATGACTGGCAATGGCCCAAGACGCAGTTGGTTGACCTTGACCTTTTTAAACTAAGGTCTTTCCTGGGTCCCAGTTTGTCTGAGGCAATGCCCATTCAATGATTAAGGGCTAGGTAAGAATCAAAACAAAAGATGTCCTAGTTTGCCATCACAAAAAAATCAGTCTGGGTGGGGGAGGACCCACAGAGTTTCTGGCCAGAACAGAAAACAATTGCTATTTAACCTCACTCTGAGCCATCAACACCAAACGATGAGCAATAGAGATTTGGGCTGGGACCTATTATTGGCCATTCAATGAAAGTCAGAGTGACTTGGGTTTAAAGGTTTAGTCAGGTAGCTCCATTTGAATCACAATGGGCTTTTTCAAGGCCTGTTTTTCCAGAGCTATATTTCAAGAAATCATGAAGAGTTAATTGTCCCAGTCTTTTGAAAAAAAAATTGATAAAATAAATAGGAATTTTTTTTTGAATCTAGCCACCAAAATCCCAAGATATCTTACAAAATATAAGTTACCAAAAATTATATTCCTTTGGACAGAGCACCCACATGTAAGTGTATGACTCCCCACATGGACAGAAAGACCTCATGTGATGAAGGAAGAAGGAGGAAGAGGAGAAGGAGAAGAAATCACAGCATTACCCAACTTGAACTGGCAGGGCAGTTCAAGCTGCCCCAGAGGGCAGCTACTACTGCCCACAGATTGTTGTTCTTCCTTCATTCTAGAAGAGGACAAATGACATCACAAGGATGATATCGTGACTTTCACATGAATCAGATTTGAGGCCGTGCTGTGCAAAGTCATCAGCCTCAGTCTCTCTTCCAGAGTCATTGGAGTCCAGTGGCAGGACAAAAGTCAAGATGACTGGCAATGGCCCAGGATGCAGCAGGAGGGGATTATTGACTATCTTTTATTATATGTGAATTCACTTCTAGCTCTGTCATCCGCCCTTCTGACTTTGAAACCAATCAGAAAACTCCTTGTCAGCACATAGCACTAGCCCTCCAGTCACTCTTGGCCAGGAAAAAACTCTCACATGTTGGACCAATACAAGAAGGGAATATCACAGACACTGAGGACTGGGTTAACACTGGCCAGTTCCCCATTACATGTGGGATGAGAGAGAATAAAGAGTCAAGAATGATTTCAAGGTTTCAAACTTAGGTGACTAGAAGGAAGTTGGTGCCCCTAAGAGAAATAGAAAAGTTTGGAAGTGGGATGGATTTGGGGGGAAAGTGCTGTTTTGAATATGTGGAGTTTGACATACCTATGGGACATCAAAATGAAAAATAGATATTTGGTGTTGAAACTCAGTAGAGAGACTAGGGCAGGATATGTGGATATGTTGTTCCCCTCCACCCCCATAGAATGTAACCTCCTTGAGGACTTTTCTTTTTTATCTCTGTATACCCCAATATCTAACACAGTACATGGCGGGTAGCAGGCAAAAATGCTGAATGATTAAATGGTTTATATATATGCCTTATACACATTTATTTATATTCTTGTTGCCAGTTTTAGGCCTGTTTCTTTATCTGTAAATTAAAGGTGTTGGACTAGATAATCTCTAAGGTTACTTCCTAGAGGCCCAAGAGGATGTCAGTCTACCTTACTCTTCTTGTACACAAGATAGCTTTAATATGATATTTTCAAATAGTAAATCCTTCAGTGCTAGGATCCTACTTGGCCTCCTTCCATGCCCAGGACTTTTGTGAGCACTCTATTAGTACTGATTATAGTGATAACACTGTCTTCTCCAAACACTGTCTTCCTTGAACTTCATTCTATAAGCAACTTTTCATGAAACTGGAACATACAGACTTTCCATTTTAAAGAATTAGTTTTCCCTCATTCCCTTCCTAGCAATGATAAATTCTTTGTCCCACAATTTATAGCCAGAAGTTAAAATATGGAAAATCCATCCAGTAAATATATGCCTTCATAACTCACCTAACATCTTATGTAATGATAGAGTTTTATTGCCTGTTTTATGTGTTCTTGATTTAGGGAATTGTGTAAGAAATCTCATGTGCAAAGACCAATTTTACAAACTAAAATTGTTTTATTTTTTTGAAAGAATATAATTGATTTACAAAAAATATTTGAAAAGCAAAGTATATGGAAGACTGGGATAGAAACAGGCTCTTTTAGTTTTGCCCTTTTCATCTGGATCACTTTGGCAACTCCAGCATTGTGACTTGCTATGGCAGACATTTTTTGTCTTGGGGAAATAGGAGCTGAGACATAAAATTTCCAGTGTAGCCTTTTAATGAATAGTATCTCTCCAGCAGAGGATGGACTTATGCAAAAAAAAAAAATCCAGTTTAGGCCTTCAGCAGGATATTTTCTGGGTTAATAGTTACTGTCATTTGTAAAGAGTCAAACTCACCCAGCCAAACTATGCAATAAGAATAGTCTCTAGCTTGTTTTTTTTATCTCACATGTGGTTTAGCTTAAGTTACTTGATATATTCTTTCATAGGATGATAGCACCTGATTTGTTTGGCATTGGTAGAAAACGAGGTTTGAATATATGGATTTTTCAGACAACTGAAGCTTAGTCATTTAGGTACCAGAGCTTTTACATTTGAACCACTTTTAATGGAAATATCCCTAAAAACATTTGCAATGGGGCTATAAAATAATACAGGAGATATCAAAAGTCTTAGTATAGTTGTAATGTATTAAAGTATAGTAGCTGTTAATCCTTAAATCTGCACTGAGACTTTTGGGAGATGCTAAAATACAAATATAGTCATTTATGTATATTTAAACAACTATGCTAGCACTTATACATACAAATAAGGATTGTTCTTCAGTCATTCTCTTGGGAAGTTATACCCTTGTTCTAGCACGCCTGTCTTTCATAGTTCTAAACCTGGGGCCATGAACTTAGCTTTTTAAAAAATATTTTAATAACTATGACAAAACAATTGGCTTCCTTTGTAATCCTATGGATTTTATTTGATGCATTTAAAATCCTTATTCCAATAGTCCACAGGTTCATTAGAAGGCCAAATGTGTCCCTGGCACAAAAAAAGAGACAGAATCTCTGCTGTAAACCTTTTTGGAAATTGCCTTCAGCATCAGTTTATAAGCCAGGTAAAGAAGTTAATCTTGTTATTTTATAGCAACACTGCCTTTTAAAAATGATATTTATTACTGAACTTGATCACCTAGCTTACTTGCCAGTCTTGATTCTGAATGATTATTGTTTCCAAAACTGAAGTCTAACTTCAAGTATGAAAATTTACCGCCATTGAGAATTGGTTTTTTTGACGGCCATTGCAAAAGGTTATCTCCCAAAATGTTTTGAGCAATGGCAGCATCATTCGAATGAGGGTATAGCCACTCAGGGTAACTATTTTGAAAAATCATTATCATTTGAATATGCACATTCATAGGATTGTAGATTTAGAGTCAGAAGTAATCCTCAAAGTTATCTTGTCCGACTCCCCCACTTTTCAAAAGAAGAAAGTCAACTTTATTACCTTTATAGCCACACCTTGTATACTCCACATTTCCTCCTTTAGTAAAAATAATACTGAATGTAATTTAATCTTTTCTTAGTGACTTGGGGCCATTATAAGCTGTTTTTTGTACTATGTTGAAGTAGGGATTCTCTCAGGTAACTGGGGATGTTTAAGATTTGACTTGTTCTTTTCCCCTAGATTGTCCTCTTGTTTACGAGATCATAGATTTAGAACTGGAAGGGAACCCTACCATTTTACAGATGAGTAAACTGAGATAGAGGTGAAATGATTTGTTTGATTCATGTACTACTGACTCAAATCCAGCCCTTTTCCACTGTACCACCCTGTGCCATAGTTGGTGATGCTGCCATCTCCTTGCTTATGCTGACTTGGTTATTTTCTGCCACTTTTCTGCCACTGCTATACATTGTTCTCTTGCCTCCTCACTCTTCTTGCCCCTAATCTTGTTGTTCACCTTCACTCTGAAGTGCAGGTAAAGATTACCCAGGAAAATCAGAAGCCAATTGTTGTGCTTAAAATATTATATATTCTATATGTCCGAGAAGGGAAAGAATGGCTATATAACTGTGCCATGAAATGAGTACTATGGGTTTGGGGACTTATTTTGTTTAAAGGGCATTAAGGTTGCTGGAAGTCTGAGCACTGGATAAGTGTGTCAGTACTGCTGTTCTGTATTCATCTGTCTCGATAATTGGGAGAACGCCTAATGATAAATATATGCCAAAAGAAAAGGTTATATAAGATGTATAAATTCTAGTTCAGAGTAGATTTTTTTTATTAATGTTAATTCATTGTAAGATGGTGAAAGGGTGGCTAGCCCCTTACAGATTCTTCAGATGATTCTTCATCATATGAATAGGCTACTCAGTTCAATTAAATAACTATTTATTGAGTACCTACTATGTGGTATATTTTTCATTAAGATTCCCCCAGTTGTTAGCACCCCCTAACTTTGCATTTCTATTCATTTTATATGTAATCTATATTTACCTATCTGAGAAAATGTTGAATCCCCCCAGTAGAATGTAAGTTCCTTAAGTGGACTGTCTCGCTTTTGTTTCCCCAGTACTAGCACATAGTAGTCACTTAATAAATTCCCATCAATTGTGAAGAAATGTTGCCATGAATCATTGTGCACATGTCACATATCTATAGGAATTAAACCTATATCTTTCAACTTTGGGTATCTTTTAGTGTAAAAATGGCTAAGGACTGAATAAAAGATTTTATAATTCTCTCATACCTAAAGGAACATGCAATGTGACTTAAAACTGGTAGATGAGACAGAAGGAATAACAATAAATAACTTGTCAAAGATTATGTGAGAACACTAGCCATCATATCCCTAGACATTGGGACCCCTTGATATTGTGGCCTTTCTGTTCTAGTTTTCTTTTTATTCTTTGATATGGAAAGAATTTCCAAGCAGAAAATATACATAGAAAAAATGTTTATTGCTCTAAATGTTTGAGACAGAATTAGACTAGAATCTTTTATTCCTATGCCAACATGGTCAGAATTAATTCAAAGGTACTTCGAGAATTTTTTCCTAAGGTTGCTGCATGCAAAGTTGTAGGGTAACATGAAAAAAAAAAAAAACAATTGTTCCAGTCAAATGAACTGAAATGATAGATTGCTAGGTTACTCGTGTGTATATTGTGCTGTAGTATCTACAAGTCATGGGATCACAGATTTAGAACTAGAACCTTAAAGGTTGTCTAGCCTCCTCATTTTACAGATGAAGAAATGAGAGGTCAAGTGACTGGCACGTGATCACTAAGAGAATAAGTAGCAGAGCTGGGATATGAATCTAAGTCCTTTGACTCCAGATTTAGCCCTCCTTCCAACAACTTTCTACTGTCTCAGCAGAACCCTTATATCCAAACTGCTTAGCTACCTTCCTTTTAAAATGTCATGGAAATTGAAACCAAATTGTAGAGTGTATCCAAGAATCTATACTATGTCTGTGAATTAAATAAATACTTTTAAAGAAGTTAATTACTTGTTTTCTTCCTCTTTAGGTTTAACAGGGAAAATGTACACTCTTCAGCCAATTGAGATTCAGCTCTTGGAGAATACTTCTTTGAACCTCATGGATTAGCTGGAATTTGGATTGTGAAGCCCTTGCTGAGAAGAGCTTTCAAGCTTTGATCACCTGAACAGACTCTAGCAATGGCCAGCAAACGGAAATCTACCACTCCTTGCATGATACCAGTTAAAACTGTGGTGTTACAGGAAACGGAAACAGACCCTGTTGAAGGTTTTAATGAAGGAACTCAGCAAGAGTTACCTCCTGAAACGCCTACTGTTAATGATGCTGTTAACAACAACAATAATAATAATGGAACACTATCTAATGGGCATCGAAGTACTTTGGATGGTGATTCTTACGTATGTAAATATTGTGATTTTGGGTCCCAAGACATGAATCAATTTATGGGACATATGAACTCAGAACACACAGACTTTAATAAAGACCCCACTTTTGTATGTATTGAATGCAGTTTTATGGCAAAAACCTCTGAAGGGCTTTCACTCCACAATGCCAAATGTCATACTGGTGAAATCAGCTTCATTTGGAATGTGGCCAAACAGGACAATCATATAACTATAGAGCAAATCATCTCTGATAGCACCAGCAGTCACGACCTTTCAGGGGAGTCCTATGAAGAAGGAATAGATGGACAAGCTGAAATTATCATTACTAAAACTCCAATTATGAAGATAATGAAAGGGAAAGCTGAAGCCAAAAAAATTCACACACTGAAGGAAAATCCATCTGTTGGAGAGAATTTACTAAGTCAGCCACCCGGGGAGAACTTAGTTAGTCAGTCAGTTGGCGAAACTGAGATGAAAGAGAGTGATCATTCTTTCACCAATGGATCTGCTCCAGTCAGCCAGGCAACCAGCAACCCTGTGAAAACTTCACATGTTTCCAATGGTCCACTAATTGGAACTGTGCCTGTTTTACCCGCTGGCGTAGCTCAATTTCTATCTATTCAACAGCAACCCCAAGTGCATACACAGCACCATCACCACCAGCCACTGCCCACATCCAAGTCACTTCCCAAAGTGATGATTCCACTGAGCAGCATTCCAACATACAATGCGGCCATGGACTCAAATAGCTTCCTGAAAAACTCTTTCCATAAGTTCCCTTACCCAACCAAAGCCGAGCTTTGCTACTTGACTGTTGTGACCAAGTACCCTGAAGAACAACTAAAAATTTGGTTTACTGCCCAAAGATTGAAGCAAGGTATCAGTTGGTCTCCTGAAGAGATAGAAGATGCAAGGAAAAAAATGTTTAACACAGTTATCCAGTCAGTACCTCAGCCTACAATCACAGTTTTAAATACCCCTTTGGTTGCCAATGCTGGCAATGTCCAACATCTCATTCAGGCTGCCTTACCCGGTCATGTTGTTACAGGGCAACCAGAAGGTACAGGCGGATTGCTGGTTACTCAGCCGATAATGGCCAATGGGCTACAGGGGACAAGCTCCTCTCTCACCTTAGCAGTTACCTCTGTTCCTAAGCAGCCAGCTGTTGCACCGCATAACACTGTTTGCTCAAACACTGCATCCACCGTAAAGGTGGTAAATGCTGCTCAGTCTCTGCTCACTGCATGCCCAGCTATAACTTCCCAAGCTTTCCTAGATTCTAGCATCTACAAAAATAAAAAATCTCATGAACAGCTATCAGCTCTGAAAGGTAGCTTTTGTAGGAATCAGTTCCCTGGACAAGGTGAAGTAGAGCACTTGACCAAAATTACAGGCCTCACTACAAGGGAGGTTCGAAAATGGTTCAGCGATCGAAGATACCATTGCAGAAATTTGAAAGGTACTCGAAGTATGTTGCCTGGAGATAATAGCTCTATGATTATGGACTCCACACCTGATGTTACCTTCACTCTGTCACCCAAAGCACCTGACCTAGCCTGTGTGACAACAGCAACAACACCAGGGGTTCATCACTCAGCCAAACGGCAATCCTGGCATCAGACACCAGATTTCACCCCAACAAAATATAAGGAGAGAGCACCAGAACAGCTCAGAGCCTTGGAGAGCAGTTTTGCACAAAATCCTCTTCCCCTTGAGGAAGAAGTAGACAGACTGAGAAGCGAAACCAAAATGACAAGAAGAGAAATCGATAGCTGGTTTTCAGAGCGACGGAAAAAAAAGTCTGCAGAAGAGAACAAAAAATCTGAAGAAGCAGCTTCTCAAGAGGAGGAAGAGGCTGAAGAGGATTGTGGTGAAGAGGATCCTGCTGATGAGTGGAGGGTTTCAAATGAGAACGGCTCTTCAGAGGCCACAGGCAGTGACCATCCTCAAGTGGAGCGGAAAGTCAGCCCCATCAAAATCAATCTCAAGAATCTGCGAGTGACAGAGGCAAATGGCAGAAATGAATCAGTAGGACTGAGTGCCAATGACCATGAGGATGAGCAGGGTTTGAGCAAATCCCTGGAACAACCCAAAAACAAAGTGAATTATAAAAAGACAGCCCAGCAAAGGCATTTGCTCAGGCAACTGTTTGTCCAAACCCAGTGGCCAACAAATCAGGAATATGATGGTCTCGTCTCCCAGTCTGGCCTGCCGAGGGCCGAGGTCGTACGCTGGTTTGGAGACAGCAGATATGCACTTAAAAATGGACAATTGAAGTGGTATGAGGACTATAAGCATGGTAATTTCCCCCCGGGTCTATTGGTCATCAGCCCAAGCAATAGAGAGCTTCTTCAGGATTATTATAAAACACACAAAACGCTGTATGAAGATGATCTTAAGAGCCTATGTGACAAAACTCAGATGAGCTCACAACAGGTTAAGCTATGGTTTGCTGAAAAAATGGGTGAGGAAACCCGAGCTGTATCTGACACTTGCAGTGAGGACCAGTATTCCAGTACTGGAGAACAAGCAGGAAATCACAGAGGGGCATGTGACACCTATTCAGAAGTGTCTGAGAACAGTGAGTCCTGGGAGCCCAGTGGCCAGGAGATCAGTTCAGAACCTTTTGACACACTGAGCCCTCAGGCTGGGATCCAGCTAGGTAAGGAATCACAGTGTATCACTATCTACAATGGGGAGCATAAGAGTACCAAGCTTCTAGAGCACTCTTCTCAATGACTGTGGTCTGGTCATCAGTACTAATGTGAATTTGATGATTGTTGATTTTAAAGCTTCTGGGCAACCTGTTCCATGGGACATCTGTGGCACAGTGAGAAAGAGACAGAAGTCATGAGGATGAGTTAATGTAATGCTATAAGAGGGAGAAAGAGCCAACCCTTTATAGGGTTGTACCAATGCTGGGGCAAGAACTTAATGTGTCTAAGGTGGTCTCTTCAACTGCCCTAGAACTAATTTGTGAGTAGGAAGTGGCTCCCAGAAGTTCTTGAGATGTTGTGCTGATGTGGGGAAGTACATATGCCTTCATGTTAGGTTTTGTTTTTTTAAGTGATGGGAGGAGAAAGGAGAAGGGAGAAAATTTTTTAAAATCCAACAATGAAAGATTAATTAGTAAGACATAAGGGGGAAAAAAGGAGCTTTTAATTGTCCTTATATGAGATGTGGTAAGTTTTGACAAATAAAAACTTATGTACTGCTTTTTCTGTTGCCCTCTCTCAAATTTTTAGGTTTAAATTTATCCATTGAAGAAATGCTGTCAATAATGAAAAATCATTTACTATTTCTTAGAAGAGTATTGGTGTTTGGTTTCAATATTTTGAATCTCATGCTTTTTTTGTAGAACTGTATGTGTTGTATTTTAAAGCAGAGGTGTCAAACTCATGGTCTAGGGCTCAAACCAGCTTAAAATGTCATTGGGAAAATAAAAATACAGTGCAACATAGATAATGTTAATTTGTGGTTTTCTAAGTAAGTAGGCAGCCTCCTGGAATTGGTTCTGAGTTTGATACCACTGGTTTAAAGTCTATTTTGGAGGGACCTACATGATTAAAGAAGCACATTTGAAGGGACAAACATCTCTCCAATTTCCAGGCCTTGATTATGCATTTGATGAGTTCTCTATGTCTTTTTCAGGGATCTTCTTCCTCATTTTTTTTTTTTTTTTGCTTAGGCAGTTGGGGTTAAGTGACTTGGCCAGGGTCACACAGCTAGTAAGTGTCAAGTGTTTGGTCTGAGGCTGGATTTGAACTCAGGTCTTCCTGACTTCAGGGCCGGTGCTCTATCCACTGCGCCACCTAGCTGCCCCTTCTTCCCCATTTCTTAAGTTTTCTTTTTGGTTTACTATTTGTAAACACATATATTAAAGGATGTCCACGAAGAGGTAAAACTCTGATGAGCCCATTCATCTACAGATCATTAATTCTAGTGAGAGGTTTGGTGGAAGCCTGGTAAGATTTTGAGATTAGCTGTGAATATGTTATTTGTGCTTTCCCTATATGCCATTATCACGTGGATAATTTTGTGTTACATATTTTCCTTCTGCCACTGGTCTTAATGCCGTGTCCTTTCGAAAATTCAATTCAGAGAACATTTGTTAAATGCCTATCATATGCAATGCTGTGCTAGGTGCTAGCAATACAAAAATTACAAACTTGCCCTGAGGGAGGTTGTTAAGGGGTCCCCTGAACTTGTCTTTTTGAGTTGTCATATTTTCCAGAAACACTGGACCCAGAGCTTGCAAGAGGCTCTGAGTGTGTGAAGGACGAAGCTCTCCCTGAGCTGGCATAGTTTGTTGTTGCACCCCAAGCTGGATTCCCTGTGTGTCCTTGGGAGGCAATACAGGCGCCAGCCAGTCTGTGCCAGGCTAGGATAATACTTGTGCAGCTGGGGTCCTTTGCAGATAAGCAGACCCTTCTATCTTCGTAATCTAATAGTTCCCAAGGGAAAAGAATGAAGCTTTTGCCATTACCTTGCTCCTCCCCAGGGGGAGTAGTCTAGTCTTTTTTCCCACCTTTGCTGCACTGTTCCCCCTCCTGTGTAACTCCCCTTCCTGGTATCCCCATCTCCCATTGTCCCGCTATTATAAAATGTAAACTTCTATAAAAACAAGGAGCCCTTTGGGTTCCATATGCATGTTCATTTCTCTTGTAATAAATTTGGTTTTCGGGGCAGTTAGGTGGCACAATGCATAGAGCAATGACCTTGGAGTCAGGAGGACCTGAGTTCCAATCCGGCCTCAGACATGTAACACTCACTAGCTGTGTGACTCTGGGCAAATCACTTAACCCCAATTGCCTCACAAAAAATAAAAGAAAGAAAGAAAAAAGAAAAATCTGGTTTTCACCTAAGTTTCATGACATTGTGATTGCCTATTGACAAGCTCACATGCTAGTGGGATGAGGCAGGGCAGGATAGTCTATATACAACACTACACAGAAAAGTATAGTGCAGGGTGAGGTATAATGGGGCAAGGGAGAGACCTAATGCTCTAGGAAAATGACAGAGAGAGAAAGAACAACACACTGTCATTTGGAGGAATCAGAGAAAGCTTCAAGTGAGAAATGTCCCCTGAGCTGCTGAGAAAGAAGATAAGGATTTTAAGTGCTAAGAAGATAAGGGAATGAGAGATTGCCTTCCAGATGTGGGGAATGCATGTTCATGGAAGTAGGAGATAGCATGTCAAAACTTTAGAGAACTAGGGTAGCATGGGCTTTCACCAACCAAAATTATTTTTTCTTCATAGGTAAGAATTGATAATATGAAGTTGTGATATTTGGCCTTGTTTTGTAGGTTTGGATTTGCCAGGCAAGCCATATATAGAGGCTGATTATTTCTTCCTGCACCAGGGATACTTAACCTGGAGTTCATGTACTTGTTTTTTAAAAAATATTTTTGTAATCATATTTCAATATAATTTGTTTCCTTTGAAAACTTAGGTTTATACATTCATAAATATTAAATATTATTCTGAGAAGGGATCCATAGGCTTTCAGCAATATGTCACAGTGGTCCTTTACATACCAAACATTTAAAAAAAAAAAACCTAAGACACACTGTGACTATAGAGAAGGAAGGAAGAAGAAAGGAGGGAGGAAATTTTAAGTGATATAAATTCCAATTTACAAGTTTAGTTACCTCCTCCCACTAAATTTTAGCTATCTTTGCTACTTAATGTAACTCTGGTTTTTTCTTTGCTGGGGATAAGAGAAAACCACCATAATTCAATTGAAATTATTCTTAAAATCTGAAACCTTTGTGCTGTTCGTGCTTTCGGACAATGAAATGCCCAGGTCCTTTGGCTTCTGAACAAGAGTTTATTAAGCATCAACTCTGTTCCTGGAACTAGGCTAGCTGCTGGAAATACAAAGACAAAAATGAAAACACTTCTGAGCTTAAAGTGCTCACATTCTGTGTGCTTTGAGTGACCCTCTTTGAGGACCCAGGTAAAGGTAGTACTGCTAGTTAGTACTTGTATCTTTTTCAACAATCTATCTTTTGGAGAGAGAACTAGCTGCCTTTTTAATCTTAGGTAATTGAGTAAATCACTGACAACTGCTATTCATTCAGCATTCACCTTCTTAACCAAAAAAACAGAAAAGATTGACTAGACTGCTCTCACTCCCCTAGGAAGTCTTGAGATTTTCTTTTATCTAATCAAGAAAGTTTCTGTAATAATACTCCCTCCTCCTACTTGATCAATTCAGCTTTGTTATAAGTTGTTTTACATAATAAGATGATCTTTTAAGTGTAATATGATACAATAGAAAGATTATTGACTTTGGAGTCAAAGAATCCCGGGTTCAAATCCCACCTTTGATATTTACAACTTTGTGATTTTGGGCAACTCATTTAACTTTTTATTTAACTTCACAGCTAGGTGGCACAGTGGAGAAAGTGCCAGGTGTGTAGTCAAAAAGGCTCATCTTCCTGAGTTCAAATCTGGCCTCAGAAACTTACTCTCTGTATGACCCTGGGCAAATCACTTAACCCTGTTTGCCTCAGTTTCCTCATCTGTAAAATGAGCTGGAAAAGGAAATGGCAAATCACTGCAGTATGTTTGCCAAGAAAACCCCCAGTGGAGTCATGAAGAATAGGACACAACTAAAAAAATGACTGAACAAATACAACTTCTCTGGGACTTAAAGTTGTCATCTTTAAAATGAAGGGGTTAGATTAGAGGACCTCTAAGGTCATTTCTAGCTAAGTCTATATAATACTATGAATAATAGTTAACAGTTATGTAGGTTTTAAAGTTTGCAAAACACTTTACATATATTATCTCATTTAACTTCAGAAAAGCCCTGTGAGGTAGATGCTGTTTTTAATCTCCATTTTATGAGGATAAATGAGGAAACTGAGGTGGAGAAAGATTAATGGACTTGACCAAGAACAGAGAACAAGTAAATATCAGAGGAGGAATTCACACCCACGTCTTCCTGATCCCTTTCTACTAGATTCAATTGCCTGTGAGCTGATCAATTGCCCAAAGACTTTTTACCATGGTCTACTTCAGTCCTAAAATTTCTTAAATGGCCACCACCCTTTTTCTTTTTTCAAGCATGTATTTTATTGATACTTTTTTTTCTTTCTCACATCATTGGCATTTCCCAATGACTGCCGCTCCCACAGAATCCTTCCTTGTGACAAACAAATATAACCTACTTTAGGATTACTTGACCAATAAGATAGCAAACTAGACATTTTCTCCAGTCTTCACAACTTGTCATACTTGTCCAAAATAGGAATTATGGACAAAAGATAAAGCAATTTCAACTCTTTCTAGGCTGTAGTACACAAAGAATGCTAATGAGGTAAAATCTCAGTGAAAATTAATCCCCAATGACAAATGTACTTACTCAGCACTTCCTATTCCATTCCCCCAAATGGAGCACTAGCTGACTTACGGGCTTGCAACAGAATGCAACCTTTCTCCTCTCCTTCTAGTGCCAAGGAAAACCAAAAAGCAGAAGTTTATGCTGGCAGGGACAGCAGGGAGGCCCAGCTCTGTACTGCAGCAGAATTCAGCAAGAGAACTGAAGAACAGAAGGAAGCAGGGCAAGACATGTGTGTGTGTGGGGGGGGGCTGTGTAGCACTCCACTAACCGTGAGGGGAAGAGTCTAGCATCCATCTGGGGCCAGTTCTGACTCCCTCAGAAATCACTTGTAGCAGAGACTGAGGCTTGTGAAGTGTCCATGTAGGAGGAGGCTGAGACAGCCTTTAGGTCAGCTTCTGGGGAAACTTCCGTCAAAGGGGAAGGAGTCAGAAAGCGATCCATAGGGGAATATAAAGAAAGAAGATTAAAATTACCAAATATCTCAAGAGGAAGAAAATTCAGTTAAAAAATTTGAGCATAAGCATTTAAACTCACAGAAAAGACATTAACAACAGAAGGGAAGGGGCAGCTAGGTAGCATAGTGGACAGAGTACCAGCCCCAAAGTCAGGAGGACCTGAGTTCAAATCTGACCTCAGACCAAACACTTGACACTTACTAGCTGTGTGACCCTGGGCAAGTCACTTAACCCCAATTGCCTTAAAAAAAAAAAACAGAAGGGAATAAGGCCTCCAGATCACCCAAAAGGGTCCAGATATCCATGAATAAATATTGTAAGGCAAAGGAGAATTAATACCTGATAACACAGAAGACGCTGTAGATCCCAAGAGAGCATAGAACCACAACAGGATGTTCCTGAATGATTTAAAAGAGAAATAAAAATTGTGAAAACCTACAGAGCAGAAATAATTGGCAGAATAGAAAAACTTGCCATGGTGGTAAGTCTCACCAGAGAAACTAAAGAGAGAATAACTGAGTGGGAATGCAAATACATGAAATGAAAAACAATCTGGAAAAAAAGAAACAAAAAACATTAAGGTTAAAAAAAACAAAAACAAAAAACCATGACCTCCATTCAAACAAAACATATTAATCACCAAGATAAGATAGGTAGAGAATGGGAGAGGTGAAGGCAGCAAACAAAGTATGAGTACCTACTATGTGCCAGGTACTGTGTTAAGTACTTTATAAATATTATTTGATCCTTACAATAACTCTGTGAGGTAGATGCTTTTATGGTCCCCATTTTACAGTTGAGGGAACTAACAGCAGTTAAATGACTCACCCAGGGTCACACAGCTAGTAAGTATCTGAAGTTGGATTTGAACTCCAGTCTTTCTAACTCCCAGGCCCAGCACTTTACCCAATGTGCCACTGAGCTACAGGATTATAGGTCGCGCAGAACACAAATCAAAAAAAAACAAAAAACAAAAAACTTGAACACCATAATGTGAGAAATAATAGAAGAAAACTGCCCCCAAAATACAAACAAATCAATATACATAATGTTCCAAAAGTGCTTAAAATTGCACTAAGACTTTTGGGATGCCTTGTATTGGTCATGTCAGGCAAATCATACCTCATTTTATAGCTATTGACCACCACCTCTCTTGTGAGAAGAGGAAGGCTTGTTTCATTCCTTTTCAGTCAAGATTGTGTGCTGCATTCTTCAAAGTTCTGGTATTTTTCAATATTATTTTCCTTACATTATTGTAGTCATTCTAGAGATTGTTTATATAGTTGTGCTTACTTGATTCTGCCTCAGTTCATATGAGTCTTCCCAGGTTTCTCTGAGTATCTTCTGTTTTCTATTTCTTATGACATAATAATATTCCATGTCATTCAAACACAGTAAGTTGTTCAGCTTTCTCCAATTGATGGGCACCTAGTTTAATTCCAGTTTGTTGCTACCATGGAAAGTATCACTACAAATAGTTTTCTATAAATGCGGGACTTCTACCTTTCTTTCTCCAGATGTTTAAGAGCATATGAATAAAAGAAACAAACCAATTTTAAAACATAAATTTTGCAGTGTTTGCTTCACATAAGGTTTTTTTTAAAAATTATCCACAATTTTCAGTGGCAAGCTATTAAACCAATGGTACGAGTATTATGGAGTAGCACTGAAAGTGAACTTGTCTTTTTGTTGCTCACTTGTAATTACTGTGTGTTACTGTGACTATTAGTTACAACTACACAATTATTAGCATAAGGATGATTATGAATAATCACTGTGGATACTTTACTTTTCCTAATCAAAGTAGCATGCTATTGTATGGCCTAAACACAATGTTAATACCTGAATCACAGTCTTTTTGCAAACGCTATTGCTGCAAAGTAAATGATAAACAATGTTGGTGTAAGAATACAGCCTTCCTAGTGCTATTAGTCTGGTAAATGCATTTCATCTTCCTATTATAGCTTGAGTTTTGCTAGCTTTCCTTTCTGGAATGAGTAAATGATGCTCAATAACTTTTCTGGATAGACATCCTTTTATGTAAACCTTTGATGTGGTAATAGTGTGCTTAATTGTGGTACTACTGCTGGCCCTGAGTCAACATGAAAGGATATAGTGTTAAATGATTGTTGTTTTTTTTTTAAACCTCAAGTCTTAAAACTGAAAACATGGCAGAGGAGGCCTTTTCTCCTTTCATCTGACAGGTTTGGTCTAAAATACTGTTTCCCTTGCAACTTCAAATCCAACTTGATGCTGGAAAAAGGTCCCTTATAGTTCTATTTTTTCTATAATTCCCTGATTCCAAGTATGATTGTTTCAGCTTTCAAGATATGAGGAAGTGGGGCAGCTAGGTGGCGCAGTGGATAAAGCACCGGCCCTGAAGTCAGGAGGACCTGAGTTCAAATCCGGCCTCAGACCAAACACTTGACACGTACTAGCTATGTGACCTTGGGCAAGTCACTTAACCCCGATTGTCTCACTAAAAAAAAAAAAAAAAAAAAAAATGAGGAAGTGAAAAACATGTTTATTATCATCTGAACTGGAAGTGTATCACCTATACTTGTAATGCAAGTGTTGGTATCTTCATGGCATTTACCACTTGGGAGGCAGTGTGGTGTATTGGAAAGAGCACTGGCTTTGGACTAAAAGAATGTGGTTTCAAATCCCATCTCTGACCCTTATTATCTGTATGACCTTGGGCAACTGACTTAACTTCTGTGGACCTTCCTCCCTTTTCCAAATGAAGAGGTTGACCTCTGAGGTCTTTTACAGGTATAGATCTATAATCTATAGATCTGTGCCTAGTCCTTTTGATTCTACTGTAGGCAAGAAAGTACAATAGGATGACAAGGGATATGTAGCATTTCATGGAAGGGTGGGGAAGGGGAGGTGCTACACTTTAATGGCCTAATATTTTTTTTTTTTGGTCACAGGCCCCAAATGACTGCCATAGGCCAGGGCAGATAACATAGAAAGAGTGTTACTGATTGTCATTAATCATCATAAGCTGTTAAAAGGCCTGTTTTGGGAAAGCCTTTTTAGTCAAAGTCAGCCCTGTTTTTTTGTTTTTTTTAAAGGTGCCTGTTTACTTCGCATTCAGGGCTGAAAATTGTGAAACAAAGATCAAGGCTACGGTAACAATCTGAGGAGAAAATTAGACTGCCTGCTTATCTTAGAGGAGTGTTCTGAGGGACTGAGGATAGCCATGTAAGACAGTGAATAGAGGAGGACACAACATGACCTATAGATTGACCCATGGTTGTCAGGCCAGAAGAGGCAGCGTGTATCCGTATTCTGATTGCCATGTTGGGTTTAGCCAGCTAGCAGCTCCCCTCCCTTAATCTGCAATTGAGCTGAACCTGGAAGTGGAGGCTACTTAGCTTTAAGGGAGCCTTCAAACAGCTCTTAACTTGAGAATGTGATATTACATTTAAGATGCTCAGACTTTCACTTGTACATGTTTGAAGTCTGTTCTAATATGTATGTTATGTATCTTTTTTTTTTCCTTTTTCCAGAAGCAGATTGAATTTAAACTGACCGCTATGAAGGATCTGCCAAATGTGGGAAGATATCAAATGGAATAGGCCGGATCTGAACCTCTGCTGCAGGGGCCAGTTACAGTGCCTGCTGTTGTGAGACTTTTAGCCAAGCACACTGGGGAGAGGCTGTTGGGGAACTCACTGGTCAGCCCAGAGCTCTTCACAGCCAATTTAGGATGATATGCTGAGCTGGGCAGAGCAGGGTTCATGTCAGATTCTTCCTCCAGCAATATAGGACCTCTTCTTTGCCTTCCAGTGGATAAAATATTACAGATTTCTTATTCATGTACAACAGAACCAACTTTTTAACATATACATCTGCCTATACACATTTAATAAAACATCAGATTATAAACATGTTCATTACATAGAAACTTCTGATTAGCAAAGCAGTGCATTTCCTTTTTCTCTATATATATTTAGTGTCTGTTCTCTGAAGGTTGATATCACTACATTTACTCCTCTTTAAGTCTTTTATCAGGGTCCAGTGCATTGAATCTAGAGAGCATGTCATCAGTACACTTACAACTTTATCTGGAATCCTTTCTATGGACCCCTTTCTGAAAATAATTCTGCTTTGTTAAGCAGTCTCTGACCAGTAAGTCTGTAAGCAACAATTTTCTTGTCTGAAGTTATAGTTGAATAACAGCCATTTTTCCCCAGGTTAAAAAAAAAACAAACCCAAAACAGATTGGTTATTTGATTGGTTTCCTTTTCATGAAAAATTCTAGATCAGTTATCAACTATTTTTCCATTACTGGGTTAAATGAAGATGTATTTGATCTTGAACCTGGTATATGTATTCAAATGCCTACTTCTTAAAGCCAGAAATGTTCCAGTATTAGATAAGAAGAGACAAAATCCATAAACAAAAGCACAAAGCCACTATGTGTAGTACCTTTCACCTGAGGATTTCAAAGCACTTTATAAATGTTGATCTCTAAATCCTCATACAAACTTGGAAAGGATAAGATGTGGCAAACATAATCACCACTTTACCAGTAAGAAAGCTGAGAATGAGAAAAGATTAAGTGACTTTCTTAGTTATTTGAGTTGGGAATAGCTCTCAATTTTAAGTCAGTGGTATAAGGCTTCCCAATAAAATCATGAAACTTCTCATCTTGCTATTCTAACCATGAGTTCTACTAGTCCTCTCTCCTGGTGAATGCACAAGATTTAAAGATTAAGGATGGAAATCATTATTAAGTAGTGATTTTTAAAATGTTCCCCTCAATTTGTAACCAAATGTGGTTTATTTAACTTTAATCTCTAGCTTATCATTTTTGCCTACCTTGAAACTTTGGTATTTTTGGAAAATCAGCTGAAATGATACCTTTTGAAGTATAGAATAATTGTTTGAATGTACTATCTACTTTATTCATACAAAAATCCTCTAATACAAGAAGCAGCTTCCATGGGAAGACCTCTGATCTCATTTCTAGTATATGTCCCAGTGCAAGAATGGACTGGAAAGCATCTTAGGCAATTTGCAAAACTAACCTGTCCACGCTCATTAGGGATAACTGAGCAACATACACAGTTATTTCCAGAGAATTTCATAGACTGTCAGAGTTAGAAGGGACCTCAGAAATCATCCAGTTCCCTTATTTTACAGATGAGAAAATTGAAGTTCCAAGAGTTTAAATGATTTGCCTAAAGTTACACAGCTAGCAGAATGGGACCTTGAGTCAGGTTCTCTGATGCCAAGTCTAGTGGTCGCTACTGTAGACACTATTCCATTTCTTTTGCCTTGACTTGAGGAAGGTAATGACTGCCAGCTCTTTAGGGTAGAGTTAGGGAAAGCAGGTGACAGGGCTTCAGGGTCTAGAGTAAACTGAGACACAGGAAATCCTGAAAAATAAACGTCTGTGGCTCTATATGTGGCCAACTTAAGACAGGCAAGTAGAAGCTTAAAGAAAATTAATTATGTTGGCAATTGAGTGGCATGAACTATGGCTAGCTAGTAGAAATCAAGCGTGCCCACCCCTCAGCCCTCATTATCCCAAATAAACACTTTGAGGGCACACATAGCAAATCACATAGCTGAATTGGCCTGTAGTACTAAAAAAGGTGCCTTTTCTGGGGGCAAGGGAAGTTTTATTCTGTGGTCTGGGAGAAACCTCTCTTTGAAATCAGAGGCCTTCCTACTACTTCTTCCAGAACCTAACCCCCTCTAGCTCACCTGTTTTTCTTGAGAAAATGACCTGGGAGTTTTACCAAGACTTGCATTCTGTCATTTTGCACCCTGTGTTGGATATGACATTGGGGTAGCCCTGATGGACTGTTGAATATTATGTCAAGAGCATGGATTTGTGAATGATAGCTTCCTCCAGAGAACAAATACATGACTTTTTTCTCTAGTGTTTATATACATGCAGGTTAATTTATATATGCACATATACAGTACAAATACTCATTTGATATTACCTTGTAAAATGTACATGATATGTGCATTTTAGTAAATGAATTAACATAGATATTAAGGAAAAAAAAACAGCTCGTGCATTGGAAATGAATGTCTTTGTATTTATTTGTACACTGAACACGACTGGGGGAGAGGCAAAGATAAGGCCAATTTCAAAGTATCCCACTTAAGAATCTCACTTCCAAAGTGACAGCCCTTGAAACACAATCACTCCCATAGTTTCTTCATGTATTAACTACAGAGTTTTACTGGAGAATGTTTTCTTGGTTCTTTTATTAGAGGTCATATTAAATGTATAATCCAAACTGTAATGGAAAAAATTAGTAATAGAAAATTGCAGTGTTGGAGCATATTCAGTCAGAGTTCACAGAACGCACTCTGGACATGAAAATTGTCCACTATACATGCAGGTCCACTTACATAAAAAGCAGTTTAGTGGAAGACTTAGGAGCTTTTTAATATTGCAAACTTTTTTCACATGCATTAACTCTCTCAAATGGCTATGACCTAATGGCTGCATGGTCAGCACTGTGAGAGAACCAGGAAGGAAAACTGAAGGGGAAATCCCAGGGATGCAGAAAAGACCCATGTTCTGCTCATGTCCTTGTATCTGAGTATATTTAAATATGGTTTGGTATTTATTCTTGCAGAGAATTTTACATAAGCAAGTGATGAAGTAGTTTGATCTCAGATCCATGTACTTAAAATGGAATAAAATAAAAATATTAACTGTATAGGTGTCAGAGGCCCAGTGCTTTGGGTGTAAATCTCAGGAGATAAAAAAACTGAGTAGAAAAATTGGAAGCAAAAAAAAAAAAAAAAAAGGTTCATAGAGTGGACAGCTAGGTTTAATGGTCCTGCCAGCAATCATTGTGGTATTCTAGGACACATTGCCACAATTTTGCATGTAGCCAAAGTGTTGTGTTGTCTTCTAAGTGAAGACAATCTTTTGAATTGGGAGTAGGAGAGAACTAAGAGTTGAGTTGGTCTTTCTTGAGGAAAAAAGAATGTTTTATAAGCTGACTAACCTTTCACTTTCTTTTCCTAGTATGCACTTGGACTTTGGAGAGTAGTAAGATTATGTACATTTGTGTTTCTTATTGCCTGTTTTTTTAAATGTTTAATTTTTTTACATGAAGATATAGATCAATTTTTATAGATGAAACCAGATGTTATGTGGAAGGAAATATGGAATAATGTGCTATGCTTTTCATATTTTTGATTACTTGTTTGAAGTTTTGATTGTAGAAAAGATTTTGTTTTAAGAGTTCTCATTTTTAAATAGGTTTTTAAAAAATAGATTACTGAAGTCTGACTCTTAGCACTTTGACTTTTTTTGTTGTTAGTTGAATGCACTAATAGTTAGACTGCTTCTGTGAGTGCTGCCTCATTTCTAATACTTGATCTCTTAATTGATACACTTAGGCTCTGTTCCTGATTTATTCATGATCTGCTTGATTCTTTGCACTGTTTTCTAAGGACAGAAGAAGTCAGCTTAAGGTATTAAAGGGGATCTTTCCTTGGTTTCAAGCATGCGGGCAGTTATTCCTACTCCCCTCTTGCCTGGGATTGTCATAGAAATTGAGAACATTTCTCCAGGCTGGCATCCTGGCAAGTGGTAGGCTCACTCATCGAGTGAGCAGATAGTGGCTAGCATTCCTCTTCCACTCTCCTCCAAGCTTCTTGGACAGCACTCCTATTATCTTTCTCCTCTGGGTGTCAGAATATAACCTTTCCTTAAGTATGTGAATATTCTCCCTATAACCTGTCTTGGACCCTATCAGCTCTTATCTTCCTTCCCTCTTAATGGACCAAAAGAGTTTGGTTGAAGTTAGCAGGCAATAGTATTTTATTGTCAACTCAGGCAGTCAGTCCCCAAGGAATAGAAAAGGACTTTTAGAATGTTTTTATAAAGCACTGCAAAGCCCTTGACTGTACAAAAGCTATGTTGCTGTAAAGCTAAGTGTGACACTTCCTTAATATATGTTTAATAAATCCAGATTTTAGTGTATGGTTGGTTAAGTTCTGCTTATACCATGCAGAGCAGAAGGCAGTGTTCAGGACTAAGGTAATTTCCCTCAAATGGATGTGTGTACAGCCAATAGCTTATTAAGATTTCTGTAATGCACTGGTTATCCTACCTTGTGATTTGTCCAAGCAGAAATGCAAGAAAATAATCATTCAGGTGTCATTCATATGAAATAGAAAGAGTAGTCCATCTGGGAAGACTTCCATTGTTTTTCAAGAAACTGAGGAGGTGGTACCATCCAGAATTCCATTGCTTTCACTCAAATAGCCTCACTTTTGCAGACCCTCGTTACTTTTCCAGACTCTGGTAATAAGGGTAATTGGAAGCCCAACTTCCTTGTATTCTTCTTGAATGCAGAGCACCCATTAGGAGCTTTTATTTGATAAGGCTGATAAAATGTGTACAGGTAAATGAACACAAACCCAAGTATAAATAATACTCTGGAGCATTAACAATATTCAGATAGGGGTAAGGAGAACACCTGTCTATAGAAAGCTTCACTTTACTTTCAGAGAGCTGACATTAAAAACCTAGGCCCTGTCTTCCAGAAGTTACTACCACATTATACTTCTGTAGCCCATGTATAATTTGGCAGGCTGCATCCAGGTTGTAGAAAAATCATTAATAAACAGTAGGGAAACCAAGATAATTGGGATACATCAGGGGATTACTTGGTTTATTTATGCAGTTATATGTGAAGATTAAAACCCAATTTTTAATAATCAGTTTCTGTTCAGATTACATGATGTCTTTCTCAGAGTCAGGCTAGTCATGTTAGTGGGAGGGAAAACAAATATCTACTAAGCACCTCCTGGCTAGACTACTGGTTGTTAATTGAAAAGGGGGTCCCATGTAATTTGACCATCCTTAAACCTAGTCTCTTTATGTAGATTAACATAATATTAGTTTTCTTCTAGGGATTAAAGTTATTTTTCCTGGGGCAGCTAGGTGGCACGGTGGATAGAGCACTGGCCCTGAAGTCAGGAGGGCCTGAGTTCAAATCTGGCCTCAGACCAAACACTTGACACTTACTAGTTGTGTGACCCTGGGCAAGTCACTTAACCCCAATTGCCTTAAAAACAAAAACAAAAAAAAAGTTGTTTTCCCCCCCACTTATCAATTCAGCATAGTCCCAGTGCCCCGAGTGAACAAAGGGAATTGGTAACTGAATTTGGCTAGCACCTTTCTGTTCTCTTGGCCTGGGTACACAAAGCCCTGATCACCAAAAACAATGACCAAGTAGGAAATTTAGTGTGGTGTGGAAAGGATGACTATTGTAAGGATCGACTTGCTGTGGATTCTTTCTAACAGTACTTTTTTTCGTATGAGTGAAGACTTGTAGGAAAGGTTATTTCTTAAATCAAAGCATTGTCTTTTGGGGCCCAAATATATATATATATATATATATATTTTGGGGGGGGGGGGTCTGGTCAAGGAGGCAACATTAGGCGTTTGCAATAAAATCTTTAATAGACGTCGCCTTTTGGAAGGCTGTCTGCTTCCAAATGGCTTTGGTGGGATCACTCTTCTGGGAGAGGTTCAAGGGCAAGCAAGGACAAGTCAGAGGTTTTAATTAATCCTTGTCTTGGTGTAGTTTTCAGAAAAAAGAGAAAATTAGGGGAGGAAGGGATGGGGGGGGAGAGAGACTAGAACAGCTTGTCTTGGTTACTGCATTAAAAGCTTTTTCATCTAACTTTTTGTCCCCATTTTAAAGGGATGAGCCAGGAAACTGAAATCAGCAGAAAAATCTAGGATAAAAGCTGTTCAAAATTACAAAATGTGGGGTTTTTTCCCCCCAAGTTGGGTCCACATTCTTAAGTATTAACTGTACTCACATGGTGCCTATTAACTCTATAATTTATATTTCAAAAAATTTTATCATCTCTGCCTCCTGCCCATAACACTACACCATGTTTGTAGTCTGCTGGAAAATAAGAGGCATATCCTATTATAAATGGTAGACTAGAACCAGGAAGAGTGTGGTTTTATACCCCAAATATTTAACCTGATAATCAGCCCCACAGTTTTCAGTGGGAATTAAAGAAGGGACACAGTTAATCTTGGGTACATTTGTAATTCCTGCTCTATCCATAGGCAAAAGCTTTGTTTCGTTGTGCCAGGAAGAATGGCCTGTACCATTACTGTTATTTTAAAAAAGAAAAAAAGGAAAACCTGCCAGCACTCTCCCTCTACCCCTGTAGATTCTTCATTGAGACTGTTATTAAGCACACCCTTTGTAAAAACCAGCATTTTTGCCAATGATCTACAGGCAACTCCCTGAGAGCAACTCTGCTTCTCTCTCCTCTCCTACTTACTTGTGATCTAATTTGAGGTATAAGCACTTTGTTCCTTATATACTGCTGGAAGAGATTTTGAGAAAGATTGTTAAACATCTTGCTATTGCAAGACTGACCTCTGCTGAGAAATAGGCTGGATTTGAAAATAGAATTCACTTCAATGAATTCAGCAGTTCAAAATGGACCTGTTTCTGGTGGCTTGTCTAAAGGTAAAGAACTTTAGCTAGACTGTAGACTTTATAAGGAGCCCATTTCACATGTAGTAGAAACAGGCCTTACTTTAGGATTCTGAAGATGAGTGGTAGGGGGTATGGTGGAGAAACCAAGGGACTAAGACAGCAGCACATGTTAATTTAGCCTTATGTGTGAAGATAACTTTTTTTTTTTTACTGTGGGTAAACATTTTTTTAAAAGTTTCAAACCTGCCTTAGATTGGGGCTGTGGTTATTGCTACTGCCTGCAGTGGCTCATGTGAGTGCAAACTTACCTACAGTTGGTCTCAAGGGCTAGCACTCCTTACAGCACAACTGCTCCTTCTAAGAAGTACATTTTGTATTTCCCTTAATCTTGTATATGTGGACTTGATTTGGGGAAGGAAAAAGAAAAGAAATTGTTTGTATAGTTTGGAATGGTTCTAAATGGTACTTCAAACCTTGATTATTCCTAAATAAAATACATAAAACCATCATCTCACATTCACAAATGTGTTTCTATGAAGAGAGTCCGAATTTATAGTTTAAGGTGGTTGTTGGCAGGTGATCCAACCCAACCCACATCAACTCTGTTGTGCTGGTTTCAATGTGTAATTGCAACATTTGACTTCAGCCAAAGGCTTTGGAATTAGTTAATAAACTAGGCCAAAGTGTGCCAAGCCCATTAATAGCATCATGTAATTGACATGGAATAATGGTATATGGAAGCTGAAAGGGGCCTTGATTTAGTCCAAACCACTGCCTCCACGTTACTTTTCCCAATCGTACAGCGTTAGTAACTGCAGCCCAAGCAGATTTTGCCAATTCCCATAGTTTAAATGATTTTTTAAAAGGGAGTAAAAGCTTATGTTTAAACATCATCTGCTAGAACATCTATGTCTTTCCTTTTCAAAGGAAAGCCTTTATTCCATCTATATCCTAATGCCCTCATGCCAAGTTGAGTTGCCTTAATCACAAACTAGACATGAAATTGCTTCTTTTGTTGAAAAAGATAAAAGTCTGAGTAGAACATAAGAGTCCATTCCTGTTTAAGTCCCTAAGGCCAGTGTTAGAGAGTAGCTTCACTTTATTCCTCTTAGTGCTGCTAGAGAGGAAAGTCTTCCTTGCCCACCCTAAACCCTCCAAAGCATCTTTTATACCTCGTGGGTGTAACAATGAAATTAGTCTTGCAATGAATTAAAACAGCAGCAGTTAAAAGGGGAATGATATAACCACTACAGAACCAATGTTCCATGATATCCCAGGAGTCTGGTTGTGAAAAGGTAGCTACTGCTTTAGGGAATGGA